CCTGTGGCTCAAGTGGCTAAGGCACCAGCCACATACACCTAAGGTGGCGGGTTCGAATCCCCAGCCCGGGCCCGCCAAGCAACAGTGATGGCTGCAACCAAAAAATGGCCAGGTGTTGTGGCGGGCACCTGTGGTCCCAGCTACTTGGGAGGCGGAGGCAGGAGACTCGCTTGAGCGTAGGCGTTGGAGGTTGCTATGAGCTGCAGTGCCACAGCACTCTACCCAGGGGAACAGCTTGAGGCTCTGTCTCAAAAAAAAAAAAAAAAAAAAAAAAGAAAGAAACTTAGTTATTTATGTGTCTTTCCCCAGTAGTCTTGAAACTTTCAGATTAGTGACTTATCTTTATATTATCAGAACTTAAAACTCAGGCCAGGGCTCGGCACCCGAAGCACAGTGGTTACGGTGCCAGCCATGTACACCGAGGCTGGTGGGTTCAAACCCGGCCTGGGCCAGCTAAAACAACAATGACAATAGCAACAAAACATAGCCAGGCATTGTGGCGGGTGCCTATAGTCCCAGCTACTTGGGAGGCTGAGGCCTGTGAACTGTGATGCCACAGCATTCTACTGAGGGTGACATGGTGAGGCTCTGTCTCAAAAAAAAGAAAAAGAACTTAGGTCAGGCATATGAAAGGTGCTTAATAAATTAATGAAGTTTTTTTCTCTAGAGAAATAAAGGAGTGTGATCATTAAGCTGTTAGAACCCTAAGATAGTATGTGGCCTATTAACTGTTTTAAGTGTAGTGTTCTCATAGAAAATAATGTCACTCTTAATAACTGATGGATGCAGGTATAGAATCTAGTGTTAGTTTCCTAGTGATGGCTTAAGTAATTTATTTTAGAGTATTAATCTGTTTCTTGACATTGACAATAAAAATTAAATTCTAGAATTTTAATGATTATTTTATGAGTGGTCGTAATATTTCTAAGGAGTGTTATTATCTATTGTAGTCAACCAGTACCAATGTTTTGTTTGTATATTTAGGGGTTTCTTTTGCGGGACAGAGGATCAGATGTTGAGAGTTTGGACAAACTCATGAAAACCAAAAACATACCTGAAGCTCACCAAGATGCATTTAAAACTGGTTTTGCAGAGGGCTTTCTGAAAGCTCAAGCACTAACACAAAAAACCAATGGTAAGTTAATTTGACACCATCCATGTTTGAGAAAAGTAACTGAAAAGAGGTCATCATCTTACGTGACTATATTTAAGTTACAAATACCTTTTCTAAAATCATTTGTTTATTGGTTATGTTTTACTATATTTTTAACTTAAGCTATATGGAAATGGAACTACTGGTGACAGTTTCACCTTCTCAGAAGAAAAAACAAATTAAAGCACAGTGACTTCATGAAGTTTTTGATAATAGGGTGTTGAAAGGAAGTTAACAGCAATTGTGCAACAGAATGCCATGTTCCAAAATTGCAAGAATCACCTAATATTTGCATTTCATTAAGCTGTCATATTTCACTAATGTCATTTGATTTAAGCTTTCTCTTCTCTTCTAGATTCCCTAAGACGAACCCGTCTGATTCTCTTTGTTCTGCTGCTGCTTGGCATTTATGGACTTTTAAAAAACCCATTTTTGTCTGGTAAAATCTCTTTATCTAAGTTGTTAATTTCTTATGCTTTAAACACTCATTTCCATTTTATGGTTAGTCTAAGAATTAAAGAAAACATTAATGATTATAGTTACACTATTATATCTAGGCTTTTATTCCTAGTAATAGTTAGTTTCCCATATTGTTAGAAAATGATACCTGTCCAAATATAAATTTAAAAATTAGGGGCGGCACCTGTGGCTCAGTGAGTAGAGCACCTGCCCCATATATGGAGCGTGGAGAGTTCAAGCCCAGCCCTGGCCAAACTGCACCAAAAAAATAGCCAGGCATTGTAGTGGGCACCTGTAGTCCCAGCTACCAAGGAGGCTGAGGCAAGAGAATCACCTAAGCCTAGGAGTTGAAGGTTGCTGTGAGCTATGATGCCGTAGCACTCTACCAAGGACAATAAAGTGAGACTCTGTCTCTTAAAAAAAAACAAATTATATAGAACTAATTTTATAATAGCAATACAAATTTATGGTCTATTTCAAAGATTAATAAATTGGATTTTCTTTAAAATTATAATGATTGACTCCTTTATTCAGTTTGCTTATCTAAAGTAAAGTAAAAATATTAGATTTAAATAGTTCCAATTACTTTATGATTCAGGATCTATATACATCTTTAAAAAATCTTTTGGTGGCCTAAAATTGTTAGTCTCCATTTTAGAATTACAATTTAAATTTGCTCTCCAAACTTGTATGTTCTTGATGTGTTAAGTATTTCTTTTTAACCCTGTATTTTTGCCTACTTTTTTGTGGGGGGGGCACAGAGTCTCACTTTGTCATCTTTGGTAGAGTCCCATGGTGTCATAGCTCACAGCACCCTGAAACTCTTGGGCTTAGATTCTCTTGCCTCAGCCTCCCAGGTAGATGGGACTACAGGCGTCTGCCACAAAGCCCGGCTATTTTCAGAGGCAGGGTCTTGCTCTTGCTTAGGCTGGTCTCAAACCTGTGAGCTCAGGCAATCCACCCTCATTGGTCTTGCAGAGTGCTACGATAACAGGCATGTGCCTACTTGTTTTTTAATTCTACCTTTCAGTCTCTCTATAGTATTTTGGGCTGCTTCTGAGGAAATGAGAAATTCAGTTTACTTACATTTAGCTGCTTTAGTTTGGTAGTTTTTATGCAAATTGGATACACTGGTTAATAAATTGCCCAAGTTCATCTTAACTAATTTACTACTGTAACAAACTTATCCTCTCTGTCTTATACTTAATGATGTCATTACTGATATGTAATTTGAGGGCAAGTAATAACATCTGTCAGCAGAAGAGGACTACATGAGAAGTTAAATCCTTTAAGCCTCACTTGTTTTTAAATGAGTGTGCCAGTTTCTTATGAGATAGGTTTAAGGTAGCATGTGTAGATCTGTGACCACTTGTATCACAGTGATCAAAGGTGCTTTTTAAAAATGCAGGCTCTCTCCTCCTACAAAGGCGTGTCTATGGTTCCCCATCTTTGGACGCGTAAGAACTGGAGGCAAAGAAATGTGGATTTGGAGAAGTCTGGGGCTAGCTTATTCCCCACAGGCTCAAGATCAACCATCCCACATAAAAGAAAGAAAAAATTATAAATTTTTTAAATTAAAAAAATGCAGACTCTTCTGGGACCTTTTGTAATTCTGTAAACCATAAAAGTGCACCAGGACCTGGGGGCCTATATTTTAACATATTTCTGAAGTCATTTTTATTCCTACCAGAGTTTGAGAGCCATTGGATTAAGATTTCTATAATTAGGTATTACACGGAGGAAGAGGAACATAATCTTCATTTTAAGTGGAAACTACACTCATGTCTGTTTAATGCAAGTCATGTCTTTCTTGAACATGGTTTAGAAATCCAAAAGACCTATTTTTTGCTCCTCACTCTGATTTAATATGTGAATTTAGAACTCTCTGGCATTGAAGTTTTCTAGGCATTGTTTTCTTGCATCTGAAAAATCAGATGGTTGGAATGTTATTACTCTATCAAATATAAACCTTTATTTTCTTCCTTTAGTCCGCTTCCGGACAACAACAGGGCTTGATTCTGCAGTAGATCCTGTTCAGATGAAAAATGTCACTTTTGAACATGTAAAAGGAGTAAGTTAAAAAGATTGCTTGCCTTCATCTTACACTATCTGATGTTGTATAAAGGTCAATATTTGTTCTGAAGCTCATTCTGAAATCGAAGTGGAATCTAAAAGTATTTGAAACTTTAATATTTGGGGTAAATGATAATAGCATGGGATCAAATCTTGTTTCAAGATGGGGATTAGTATTGATTTGTGAAAGAGCATCATGATGTAATAGAATGAATGTGGACTTAAGAGTCAAGCAGAATAAAGTTTCAAATTGAATTGGAACTTGAATTGGATCTAAAAGTATTTGAAACTTTTTTTTTTTCTAATTTTTTTTAGAGATAGAGTCTCTCACTTTATTGCTCTGGTTAGAGTACTGTGGCATCACAGCTCACAGCAACCTTCAACTCCTGGGCTTAGGCAGTTCACTTGCCTCAGCCTCCTGAGTAGCTGGGACTACAGAACACCCGGCTACTTTTTTCGAACCTGCCACCCTCTATATATGGGGCTGGCACCCTACCCACTGAGCCACAGGCGCCGTCTAAAAGTATTTGAAACTTTATTTATTTATTATTGAGAGAGGGCCTCAAACTATTGCCCTGAGTAAGTGCGTGGCGTCACAGCTCACAGCAACCTCCAATTCCTGGGCTTAGGCAATTCTCTTGCCTCAGCCTCCCGAGTAGCTGGGACTACAGGTGTCCTTCACAATGCCTGGCTATTCTTTGGTTGTAGTTGTCATTGTTTGGCAGGCCCAGGCCAGATTCGAACCCGCCAGCTCTGGTCTGTGTGGCTGGTGCCTCAGCCATTTGAGCTACAGGTGCTGAGCCTGAAATTTTAAGATTTGGAGTAAATGATAATACCATGGGATTAAATCTCGTTTCATGATGGAGATTAGTATTAATTTGTGAAGGAGAAGCATGATGTAATAGAATGAATGTGGACTTAAGAGTCAAGCAGAATAAAGTTTCAAATTTATTTTGGTATTTATTGTTTATGTGACTTTGAAAAATTACTTTAGATTCACACAGATAATATGCTTGTTACACAAGAAGGATCTATACACACATCTTTAAAAAATAATAAATGGAGCTGAGGCACAGTGGCTAATTTGTGTAATCCCAGCGCTTTAGGAGGCTAAAGTGGGAAGATATATATGCATACTTTTATATAATCCTTAAAAATATTAATAAGGCCTCATTTTTTTTTAATTTTTATTTTTTTGAGACAGAACCTTAAGCTGTCCCCCTGGGTAGAGTGCCATGGCATCACAGCTCACAG